AGCTATAAGATTGTCTATCACCACAGCCTAGAAATTGCTTACATCTTCCTGAATCCAAATCTACAAACCTAATTTGCATCCATAATTTTGTCCTTATAGCAGAGGAGGTACTCCTTTTCTTGACATTGAATTCTTCCATCTGAACTCTGGATTCCATTTATTTCCTCTACTTAAAGAGTTTTGCTCCTTCAGTTATGCCTTCTTTTTCTTGTTTTGTCAGCTTTACCTTCTCCTCTAGATGGTTCCCTCCACAAATAAACATGTTCTAGTATCTCTGTCCTAAAAGTCATGCCTCCCCAGACCTCATCTCTGCACACCCATACCCCAGTCCTTTTTATCATTCCCATTTCTCTGCTCTCCTTTGAAGGCAGACTTCTCTAGAGAAAAATAGTGCTAAGAGTGTGTATGAGTGAGTGTGTGTGTGTGCCCGTGTGTGTGTTTGCAATTCTCCAATCAGCAATTTCCAGTAGATTTTTCTGTGATGTAGAAAATGCTTTGTGTCTTCACTGTTCAAAACAGCCACTAGCCATGTGTGGATATTGAAAACTTGAAATACAGCTAATGTGACCAAAGAGCTGAAGTGTTAATTTTGTTTAATTTTAATTAAATGTAAATAACCACACGTGGCTAATGACGACAGCATTAGTACAGCTTCAGTAAAAGAACCTGGACTCCTTTTTAGCAGTAGCTTATTTCAGGACTTGGGCAAGGAAAATATGAGATGAGTCTGGAGCATCTTTGGGGCTCAAAAAGTAAGAAGGTGCTAAAAAATAATGGGGATATGTAAAAAGGACATTGAAGCCAATGTAAAGAGACTTCAAATTACCAAATCTGGAACAATTTGAGCTTCAGAATAAACAATAAATAATAATAGTGGATTCAAACTTATAAAATAAAATAAATAGTCATATGACAATACTGATACAAATAAACAGTTTAAAAATACTTGGTAGGGAGAAAGGACTGCTTTTTCCTATGGTAGAATTCTAATTAATGAATGTAGGAGGATTGATGAAAATGAAAATCAACATTGGCAAACATCACAGTAATAAGTGGGTAAGGGGACAATTCAACAGATCATCTGTGGATGCTCAGTGAGCATAATAAGTATGATGACAAACAGTATTTTTGCATAGTCTCAAAGAATCCTTCCCATAAGATATCTGATAGATGCCACCTTAATTGAGTGATCACAGTTAACATCACGAATAATGAGACATCCAGTACCTTCCAATAGGATGCACTGAGGACACCAAGATACATAACCTCAACCTAATCATGAGTAAACATCAGACAAACTCAGATTAAAGAATACACTACAAAATAACTGGCCAACCATACTGGCAAGATCATGGGGCAAAGAAGGAAAACTAATGAACTGTCTCGGGATGGAGAGGAATAAGAAGACATGACAACTAAATGCAGTATGGGATCCTATATTTTGTCCTAGATCAAAAAAGTACATTGGTGAAATTTGAGTAAGGGCAACAGATTTCAGTAATTCTGCTATGGTTATATAAAACGTTAACATTGGTTGATGAGTATCCAGAAACTGTTATTATTTTAACAGCTTTTTTGAATATCTGAAATTATTTCAAAATAACAAGCTTTTTTTAATTGCCTATACCTGGTGCATTCAACCCAGGTCTGTTTTCTGAGTTTCAGATTAATATGTCTACTTTGATGTATCACATTGCAAACTTAACACATTTAAAACAGAAGTATTGATTCTCATGTCTATCCAACTACTCCCCCAAAGTCTTAGCAAATGTTTAATTCCACTCAGTATGTTTTTCATCTCTAGATTTTTCCATTTTTATTGTCTTTTGTGTCTGTGTGGAACATACGGAATATAACTTAAATGTCTTTGTCTGCTAGTTCTATCTTTTTTGTCATTTCTGATTCTGTTTCTATTGATATTTCTTTTCATTATGGATGATAATTTCTTGGTTCCTTGCATTCCTGGTTATTTTCTGTTGCATGCCAGACATTGTGAAGTTGCTGGATATTTTTATATTTCTATGAATGTACTTGAGCTTTGTTTAGCACTTGGTTAAGTTACTTAGAAACAGTTTGATCCTTTTATGGTTTGCTTTTAACTTTTGTTAAACAGACAAGCACAGCCTTTACTGGAGGGCTTATGTTTCCCTGCTATTAAGGCAGTACCCATGAATTACCAGGTTTTCTATTGTGGCTGATGGTACCTCTTGCTAGCCATGTGTGGGTTTTAGGAACTGTTCCCTCTATTCTTTTCAAATGGTTCTTTCCCCAGCCTCAGATGATTTCCTCATATATATACATGTGTCAGTACTCAGCTGAAAACTCGGGGGAATTCTTGTAGCTCCCTGGAGATTTTTCTTTCTCTGTGCAACTTTCTTCCCTTTAGTACTCTGCCCTGGGGGCTCTAGTCACTTTGACTTCCTCCTGCTGACAGTTTTGTCTCCTCTTCTCAGAGAAACCATTTAGCTGTAAGCTGGGGCAGTTGGAGGGCTCACCTGTCCTTCACTGCTGATTTTGTCCAGTTCATTTTGGGTGGAGAGTGAATCTAGTTCCTGATACTCCATCTTACCTGGATGTAAAAGTTAACATTTTCTTTTAGTTTAAAAAAAAAGTCCAAAGAAAAGAATCAGATCAGTCTTATTATGAACTGTTTATAATATTTATTTACCTTTGTAATTTTTAGATACTGTATTAATGTAAATGCTTTATATGTCACATATAAATATAAAATTCCTTATATTGGGGTTATTTTTAACATTTGTTTTCTGCCCATCCATAATTTATGATACGAAATTGCTTGACTTACAGATTGGAAGAACATTGCTATCCTGGGTCATTAGAAAAATAATATTTCCAAATATGTGTAATGAATAAAATAACCTGTATTTAATAATATTACTTCAGTTTTGCAGAAAACTCAATTTTTAACTGCTTTATATTTTAAAATTAAGAGTACTGATTATTTCTGTAGGGTGACACTTCTGGTTTATGGGCATCCTTGTTCTGATTTGTGGGTATTCTTATCCTTTCATAAGTTTTTGTGTACTTATAAGTCAGTACTGAATTTTCCTCTGGGTAGTTTTTTGTTTTTGTTTTTTTTTTTTTAAATACGGAGTTTCGCTCTCCTTGCCCAGGCTGGAGTGCAATGGTGCAATCTCAGCTCACCACAACCTCCGCCTCCCAGGTTCAAGCGATTATCCTGCCTCAGCCTCCTGAGTAGTTGGGATTACAGGCATGAGCCTGGCTAATTTTGTTTTTTTTTAGTAGAGACGGGGTTTCTCCATGTTGGTTAGGCTGGTCTCAAACTCCTGACCTCAGGTGATCTGCCCGCCTTGGCCTCCCAAAGTGCTGGGATTACAGTCGTGAGCCAACGCGACTGGCCTTTCCTCTGGTTTTTTATACCTCATAAAATAGAAAGTTGGATTTCTGTCATTAAGGTTTCTCATAATTGATGTTTATGTGAGATAAATGTGGTATTACAAGGAGAGTAATATTGTATTTGGGGGCACAGTGGGAATGTAGAAGGGCACTGGACTTCAGTAACAAAATTAAAAAGTAGAAGTTGAGTCTTGGCTAGCTTCTTACAAGTTATGCTACCTCTTTGAGCCTTACATTGTAACTTTCTCACATAACCTCCTTGAGCCTTACTTCTTTTAAATGGCGTAATACTCTTCTCAAAGGCAGTTGTGAGAATTAGGTGCATTTTGTGAAAGTGCATAGTAAACTGCAAATGCTGTATCAGATATCATTATGAGGTTTAGCCTGAGAAGTGTAAGTTTTAAGCAGTATGTACAATGGAAAAATCTGAGTATTCCTGAACCCCACATTAAAAACCGAGTTATTATCCTGGCTTGTGTTTTCTTTGGCTAGTTTCAAAATTTCTTTATTTTTTGATGCCCAGCTTAATAGAAATGAGTCATATTATCATTTCTGTCTTTACTCGGCGGTATACCAATAGCACTTCACTCACATCTGTGACCTGTGGGTTGTGGAGAGAAATAAGGATGTTACTCAACAGCTTGTGTCTTTCAACAAAGAATACTTTTCAAAACACTCATGAGTTTCTCTTAGGCATTAGAAAATGCAGAACCTTAGGCATTAAACTAAACTCATAAACTCAGTAATATTTAGTGAGAAAATTGGAGGAATAAATCACTAAAGTTAGATTCTGTGTTCTCTGTAAATACCAACAACCGTGAGCCATGGAGTAGATCAGATGACCTTGGTTTTTATGGTCTAAAACATTTTCTACAGAATGGTGCAGGAGCTGTTTACTGAGAATTGGAATAAAAGGCTACAGAATTGTGTGAGGCTTGCCCCATATTTATGAATCAGATTTTTAAGTGGAAGCCACAGTTGTTTCCTTGTTTGTCATTCATGCTTTAGCAGAGGATATGATGCCATAGAGCTGGCTTGGTTTGTAGCTTCTCATTTAGGGTTTGTACCGCTTTCTTTTCCCTTTTAGAGGCCACAGCAGTTTTGATGTATTATCAAACCACAAAATGTACCTTGTTGGGTGTTTAGCAGGAGGAAATGTGTTGACTATTACACATCCCTTATCTACAATGCTTGAGACTAGAAGTGTTTTGAATTTCTTATTCTTGTTGGTTTTTTTGTTTTTTGTTTTTTTGGAGTATTTGCATTATATATACTTGCCCATTAAGCATCCCAAATCCAGAAAGCCCAAATTTGAAATGCCCCAGTGAGCATTTCCTTTGAGCATCTTGTTGGTGCTCAGAAAGTTTCGAATTTTGGAGGACTTTGGATTTTTTAATTTGGAATGCTCAGCCTGTATTTGATAGTTTCATTAATGATTGTGGATAGCATAAATTTGAAAATGCATACATATGTGTATGGAGTAGGTAGTATATAGCCATACAACTGCAGACACATGGAAGACAATTCTTAACCCTTTGAATGTATTAGTTTGTGTTTAAAGGTAATGTTTTATCTTGTTTAACTGGCATCTAATATGTTAAATCTCTTTTATTCTACCTTAGCATCAAGGCATGCCATGGGTTGCCTCTCATAAATGGCCAAAGCTGTGACCCTTATGCAACAGTTTCTCTAGTGGGCCCTTCTAGGTAATGTTTATTGAATTATTACTAGGTTTTTAAGTTGTAATGTTTGATTTAAAAATTTAAAAAGTAAGATTCTATGAGCAAATGATAAATAGCTATCTATAACACAAAGTAATAAATGCTTTGAAAGAATAATCTTTAGTGAGTTCTATTATACACTTGTTAATAACAAAACCCTCTTTTTACAGACAGAAATTGGTACCCCATTTTAAATCTGCCATGCTGTTAGGCTTTAGGGAACAACCTCAGTTTTATACTATTACAGTGTAGTGCTTTAAAACATAAACTTGACTGTTCATGCATCAGCATTCCTACTTTCAAATATCCTAAACTTTATGCATGTAAAATCCTGTTTTAATGAATGCCAGTTCAGAATAACAAGGCAATTTATATATTTTTATCTGGAAGGCAACTCAGGACTGAAAAATCGCCTTTTCTACTCATGAGATCTGTCCTCTACAGAGAGAATTCCAACTGTAGAAAAACTGCTGAAGTACTAGAGCATGGCAAAGTGTACCATATCATTAATTTAAATGATTTATAATAATTTGTGAAAAAACCTATAGCATTTTGTAATACGGTGTGTTATATGACTTCATTATGGTTTCTTTAAGGAACTGACACATCTGAAATATGTCTCCAACTTGAAGGTTTAGAATCAGGAAACAAGAAGCACAGTATTCCCTCTACACACACATGCATGCATGCATACATACACACTCCTTTTCCCCATCCCCAGAGTCTCTAGTTATTCTTACTTTGTTGAAAATCACTACTAAGTCACTTTGAAAAATGTATTTATGTATGTATGTAAAGTACCTAGTACCATGCCGGTATTTATTAGGTGCTCAAACAATAGTATGCTATTAGCAGATAGTCTTATGACATTAAATGCTATTAGAGAGATTTATTTTGCATGATAAAAATGTTCAATCTAGTGGAGCTGTTTTTGTTTTTTAAAATAATCTGTACCTGACAAATTCTTTATTTGGTAACATACAGTTAGAGACAATTTGGCATATGAATTTGTGTTTTAAAATGTCTGGCCAGGCGCAGGTGGCTCACGCCTGTAATCCCAGCACTTTGGGAGGCCGAGGCAGGCGGATTACCTGAGGTCAGGAGTTCGAGACCAGCCTGACCATCAAGGAGATACCCCATCTCTACTAAAAATACAAAATTAGCTGGGTGTGGTGGCGCATGCCTGTAATCCCAGCTACTCGGGAGGCTGAGGCAGGAGAATCGCTTGAACCCTGAGGCGTAGGTTGTGGTGAGCCGAGATTGCACCATTGCACTCCAGCCTGGGCAACAAGAGCAAAACTCCGTCTCAAAAAAATAAAAAATAAAAAGTCACTGTGGGTTTTGCTATTGTACTGTGGTTGTGTAAGATGTTAACACTGGGGGAGACTGGGTAAAGACACAAGATTTCCCTATACATTTTTTGTAACCTCCTCTGAATCTATAATTAAATTAAAATTAAAATTTCTTTTAAGAAGTCTCTATTATATCTGAAGCCCAAGAAGTAAGCTGAGTTAAGAATGTTTTTCAAGTTCCTTGGGTATTTTTCAACATAGATGAAGGTACTCTAAATCTTATTGTCTTCCTTCTATTTATTCTGAGTTGCTTATAGAATAGAATGTGTTTTTAAAGCCTCTGAAAAAGGTTGGCAGTCTAGTGTGTCCATAGAGAGAATAATACAGTCTTGGCACGTAGAGGATGCCTAAAGCTTATATATTCTTTGATTTGAGTTTATAAGGACACTTAATTTTTTCCAAGCAATATTTAAAACTGAATCTTCCCTGAGTCACTTTAACTTTTAAATGGAGGTCAGGCTCCCTGGTTGGAAATAGCATGTTTTATAATTGTGTACTGTTAAGTTCTACAAGGTAAAACTCTACCACATTGGAACAGGAATGACCAAAAGAAGACAAAAGTAAAGAAGAAAACAAGCAATCCGCAGTTTAATGAAATCTTTTATTTTGAGGTAATTTTTTGTTTTACGTAAATGTTAACATTCAATATGTAATATTTAATGCTAGTTAATTTCTTTTTTCAAACCACAGTCATAGTAATCATTTTATCAATTAATGCAGATAAGCAGAAAGCAGTAGAACCATGGTGTGATGCAATGGAAGCCCAATATATAAAATGAATAAAGGCAGAGCTCTAATTTGGGAGCAGGAAGGGCCAGGGCCATACCCACTCCCCAGTCATCCTCACTGTCATGCCCTCCTTTGCACCCTCCCTTACCCTACCCAGCTCCCTACCTAACACATAGTGGCCACAGGACTCTTCTGCAGGGTGCCCTTTGACAGTCACTAGTGAAGTAAGTATAATTACCACTCAGTAAATCTGAGTTCCAGTCCAGTTGGCTTTGAAAGAGTCACTGAATGTGACTCAAGTTTCTTACCCTGTGAAAGAATAGTTGGAAGGGAAAATAGCAGCACTACCTGACTCATAGAGTTTTTGTAAGACCCAAAGCATGTGAGAATCCTTTGAGACCATAAAATACTGTATGATTAGAGCCTTATTATTACTCTTTTTTTTTTTTAGCCTAATTCATTCTATGGATGCCTGCTTATCTTCATAGACAGCTTCAGCTGCCTTGAAGTTGTCCCAAATACAGTGCTTTGGAGTGCTTTTCTTTGGAGCATTTGTTAAATAAATCCTTTTTCATATTATTTGCAAACTACAGAAAAAAAAAATCCAACTGTCTAAAAGATTGTTTTCTAATAAAGCATGTTGCAGTTCGTATCAACGTGTAGGGAAGGTTTGAAAAAAGGCACATTTTGTGCCTTTCCTTCTGTATGTGTATTTTTCTTGGTATTTCAAAGTGGAGAGCATAAGGGTACCTCTAGTCGTGCCTGATTACTGTGCTTTAATAAAGGAACACAGGCCAAAGAAAATGCCAGAAGTGAAGCAGGAAGAATTGTGGAGGGGGAAGCAAGGGAGAAAAAACAAAAGAAAAAGTACCAATGTGAGACTTTTCCATTTCCTGGCTAAGGACTTGGTGCAGTTGTTCTACATTTATTAATGGCGGTTGCATCTAACCTGGAGAAAATAAAGAAGACAGCAATGTCTAAGGGCTGCTAACTAAAGGCACTTACACTCCCCGTTAGCCCACAGACCTTAAACCTCAGCTGGATGTAATCTACTCTGCTTCATGGATCCTTACAGTCAGCCAATGACCTTGTAAAAGTAGAAGACCTGACCTGCCTGCTGTAGCAGGAGTACTTGTTAGTCCTTGCAACATTCATTCAGAGGGCCTTTTGTTGGTTATAAAGATAGATACATTTCCATCTCTGTCCTTTATCTAAAGCAAGGAACACAAAGCAGACACACGTATACATATATACAACAGTAAAATGCGGTAGATATTGGAGAGGTCAGATGAACTCCATCTGGAGGTCAGATGCTCCATTAAAGGCTTGAAGAAAGATTGGATTTTCTAAGATTGAGGAAAGAGAGTATTAGATATGATGAACATTTTGAGCAGAGGCACAGAGACAGAAAAGCAGAAAGTTATGTCCAAAGTACAGCGAGTACTGATTTTACTGGGCTTGTGTAAGGAAGTAATGGGAACTAAGATTAGAAAGGTAGAGTAGGACCAGCTGATGAAAGGCCTTGAGTGCCTAGCTGTGCTGCTTAAGTAAATTATTTTGAGCCTATAAGTTATGAGTAAAACAGTGTTTGGGAAAGAATTAACTATGATCTGAGGTCCAGGTGGCTTAGGGAGAAAGAAGAAAGATGGGGAGATTGTTGTACTTTAGGTGTAAGAAAAAAAGGGAGGGAGGGGGTGTCTTTCAAGAGAGCACTATGGAAATAGAGAGGAAGAGGCAGATAAAAGAGAGAATGCAAAGGGCAAGATAACAAATTGGTTATAGAAAAAAAGAGAAAGGAAGTAGTTGAATGCTGCCCCCAAGGTTCCAAATCTGGAAAAATAGAAAAGTAAGGAAGAAGAAAAATAAAAGTGGTTTAGTTTGGAGCATAATTAGCTTGAGGGCTGACATTTTAAATCCTCCAGTAGGGAGTTCATGACTGAAACTTAAGATAAGTGATAGTTATTGACCAACACTCAAGGTTTGTTGATATAAACAGTCAAGAAAGCCAAGAGAATAGAGGTATACAATAAAGGAGAAAAGTGAATAAACTAATTTCTGCCACTTAAGTATTCAACTTTGAGCATGTCATTTAATTTCTGTGCTTCAGCTTCCTCATTTTTAAGTGAGGATAATAAATCTAGCCCTGCCCGCCTCTGAGCAGCATTCTGATGAACAAAGGAGATAATGGATGTGAAAGCACTTTGTAGACTGTACAGCACTGTGCAGCTCCAAGTTGTTTTTAGTGCAAGATAAAACATAACATTTTGAAGAATAGTATGTCTATAGATTCTGAAAAAGAAACAAAAGACAGCTGCATAAGGTTGCCAAAGTAGTGCTCAGGTAAACTCTATAGAGTGTTTCTGGGAAAGGAGATACAGTTGTATGATCACTAAATTAAATAGGAGATCAAGGGAGGTAAGAACTAAGAATTTATCATTAGATTTGGTGATGAAGAGAGAGATTTTAGGAGAGTGATCTGTGAGGAAGCCAAGATTATAAGGAGTTACTATAGTGAGTGGGTGGTGAGGAAGTACAAGCTGTAAGGGTGGATTACAGTTTTCAGATATTTGTCTGAGAAAGGAAAGAGATAGGAAGACCGTAATTTAAGGGGAGAATTTTTCTTAGACTTGAGTGAGATGAACAAACTGGTGTAGAAAGCTGTAATTAAAATAGATCAAATAATGCTTACTGAATGCTTATTGCATACCTTGTGTGGGTGGCTAGTCTTAGAAAAGAAGAAAATCATCCCATTCTCTTGTTGAGAAGAGCATGAGAAAAACTCAAGTAGAGAACCCTGTGTGGGAGTGGACAAGTTCAGGTGAACGGTCATTGAAGAAGTTCCTGCCAATGGCGTTGATATTTTCAGCAAAAATGTGAGAAGGAAGTGCAGGGTAGGACTGGTGTCTTGAGAAATGTGCGAAAGTCTTTTAAACACTTCTGAGTCACCAACTGACTACGTATGAGCCAGAGAATCTAATATTCATTGATATATTTATGTTATTTTATTTTTGTTAAAATAGAGACAGTCTCACTTTGTTGCCCAGGCTGGTCTTGAACTCCTGGCTTCAAGCAATCCTCCCACCTTGGCCTCCCAAAGTGCTGGGATTACAGGCATGAGCCACTGCACCTGGCCATTGCCATATATTGAGTTGATAGGAATGGCATAGAGACAAAGATTATTTTGATTTTTTTTTTTTACACCACCTTATTTTCTTCTACTTCCATAGTTGCTTTTGTATTCAGCTATTGAGTAAAATATTACTTGGACATTTTCCTCTGCTTTTATCCACAATTGAATATTTTGGAGATGATCATTTTTAAGTTATAGGAAAAATGTAAAAAAAAAAAATTTACTAAAATATTTTGTTTACAGGTAACCAGATCCAGTAGTTACACCAGAAAGTCCCAGTTCCAGGTGGAAGAGGAGGACATTGAAAAGCTAGAGATCAGGTATGTGCCTTAGGGTTTTACAGAATTGCTTTTTTGTGTACCAAAAGAAAATCCTAAATTCAACCAAAAAAGGTAAACCAACTTTAATAGAATTCTCTATAGCAGGTTGGTTGATGAAACTTAGAGGAGTATGCATCTAATTTAAATCCAGATTATCCTCCAAAGTCTGATTTGTTTGCAGAAATACTCAGGGTATATTTATTTTATAAACAAAGATGATCTAATTTTCATCTGTTTTATTTTTAATTTTTCCCAAATTGTTCCTTACATTTCTGGATTATAGTGTAATGAATGGAAAGGAAGTTGTATCTCAGCCAATTTAGAAATAATTTTTTTATTCTTCTTAACATATCTGCTGTCTAACAGAAATTTCAGTGAGGTAAGAAGATAATTCAGCAGGTGCATGTGTTTGAAGTTTGTGCTGTTTCCTAAGTCTTAAATATCTATGCCTTTTGGGAAGGAAAAATCTTTTAAATGCATGTGTAGGTGTGATGTTAACAGTGTGTTCATCTAGATGGTACATTAATCATGTGTTTGGAGTGATCAGGTAATGTATTTTTCTAATTTTTCTATATATATATTAATTGGTGGTAATCTAGAGAGAAACTGTAGTATTGCGTTGGTTTCTTTTTGTAGTTTCTTTCTGTAGTCCTTATTGCTATAGGTTAAAATAAAGCCTTGACTTTCAAACTAAGACAGTTTAAGTGCCTTCTTTTAGACTATTTAAAGTTACTTTCTGTGCTTTTTAAATAAAAGCTGCTGTGTAGTATTTTGCTTCTCTAGTCTGGATAGTGAGGTATGTATATGGTGGTGCTAACATCTTTTAAGCATGTAAAATTAATGCTATAACACAGATCAAAGTAATTTGAAGCTGTTTTGTGATGTGCACTCTCTTAAACATTGTTTGCAAAACATAAAGCCAGTTTTCAATTTTCAGGATCGACTTGTGGAACAATGGAAACCTGGTCCAAGATGTTTTCCTAGGTGAGATTAAGGTTCCTGTGAATGTATTAAGAACTGATTCCTCTCATCAAGCCTGGTAAGAGCCCAGCATTTTAGTGAACTCCATAGTTTAATTCTCTTTAATACAGTATATATATGCAAATAAATGCTTACTCTGAACATATTTTAAATTTGCCGCGTAATAAGCCAGATGTCATTGATATGTTCATTCATTCATTGTCGCAGAAGTACATTGTACGTTTTATGACTTGACCTGTGGTACTGAGATAAAAGAACTGAATCGTCTAGGAATATTTTTCTGTTCAGAAGTGAAGACTTAAGGAGAAAAATGGGAAACATTTAAAACATTACATAAGAGTTGTTCATGTAAGAAAATGCTAGGTCACAAATCAGTATCTGCTTTTCAGAAGTTTTATTAGTGGTCATAGGAATTGTGGATATTTGAAAGCAAAGGATTTTATTTAGGGAACTCAGTTGTTTATGGGAACTAACCACTGTTCTTCCTTCACCACACCCCATTGAAATGTACCGTAGATGGCCCTAATGTTACTTTTTGAATGTCTAAAGTCTTATGTTGTTGAGCTGGCACTTTTTAGGGCTCTTGGTGTTCAATAATGACTACAATATTATTTTACTTTTTAATGACTCTAATAACATTAAACTGATGTTAAAATTAATGTTCACACGTTAAATTGAGCTAGTTTCCTTAGCAGAATCAATGTGAAACTATTTTTTTTTTCTGTCTATAGCACTTAAAAGCTTGTGTATCCTTTCAGTATGTTGCCCAGCATCTCTCTTGCTAGATTTGGGTTTCAACTGGATGTAAATGAACATGCTTTTCTCATTTGCCTTTTAAGGAGCACTTTTTGGAACTCAGTTTCCACTGCCTCAAAGAGGAATGTTTAGGTGTTTCTTATGGATATCAGTTTCATTGTCCCTAAAAGAGCCTCTTCTGATTGGCCATCAGACATCTTCATTTTAGAGTCTTGTCCTGGAATAGTTATCACTTGTAGAATGATTTGGAGACTCTTAAAATTTTTACTTTATTTTTTGCCTCTCTCTCTAAGGCAGATCTTAGATTTATTGGTCTTTATGTTGGCATTTTGTGTATTATAGTTTGTAAAATGCATCCACAGAGGGGGAGAAAATCAAACGTAGTCACTGAAAAATTGATGAAGATTTGGGACCTGTCATCCTCCCACTACACCATGTCTTCTACTTTCCATCAAATAGCATTCATTTTAAAATGAAAATTTCTGAGCTCAGTTTGTCAAGTTTTTAAAATTACGTGCCAGACCACTCAGTACAGAGGAGAAAAACGAGCTCTTGTGCCTCTGGGCCCCTCAAAATGAACTTGTAATGTGCCACATAATGTTTTTTAAGTAAGACCGTCTCTAGAGATGCCTTCCAAATTTGGCAAAACTTGGTGCAGCTTCCTTGGCAGTATGTAAGAACATTAACAAACTAATTTTATTTTTATGGATGTTTTTGGCCCATGATATTTTAAAGTAACCTGCCAGAAATATAAGTGCTAAAATTTATATAGCATGAAATAGAAACATCTGGTAATTCATATATACTTCCATAGTTGTAAGGAAATATGAAAATGTGAATGCCATTTCTTGTAAGTTGGAAATAAAACTCTTACCCTCCTCCATCAATTGTAGAGCTGTAGCATCCCCTTGTGGGGTTGTTGGTAACTGCATGAAAACTCAAGAAAAAATTTATTTACGCTCAGGATTTCAGGCAAATTCTTTCTAATCTTGATGTTAAGAGAGTAGGGAGGCCGAGACGGGCGGATCATGAGGTCAGGAGATCGAGACCATCCTGGCTAACACGGTGAAACCCCGTCTCTACTAAAAAATACGAAAAAAAAAACTAGCTGGGCGAGGTGGCGGGCGCCTGTAGTCCCCGCTACTCGGGAGGCTGAGGCAGGAGAATGGCGTAAACCCGGGAGGTGGAGCTTGCAGTGAGCCGAGATCCGGCCACTGCACTCCAGCCTGGGCGACAGAGCAAGACTCCGTCTCAAAAAAAAAAAGAGAGAGAGTAATCATCAGTAGTTTAATTCTGTTGTTTGAAAAGTCTCAAAATAGATATAAACATCTTTTCAGTTGTAATTTTTAAATTTGAAAGTAAGATTCAAATAATAGATAAAATGAATTACTGGGATTTTCTTTTCAACAGAAGCACTTTATACATGCTTTTAGACTAGATTAATATTTGATATGATTTAGCTTTCCAGTTTGATAATTTTGACACCTTTTGTACTCAAACTTTTTTTTTTGGATCTCACTTTTTTGGAGACAAAGTCTCACTCTGTTGCCCAGACTGGAGTGCAGTGGCATGATCTCGGCTTACTGCAACCTCCACCTCCCGGGTTCAAGCACTTCTCCTGCCTCAGCCTCCCAAGTAGCTGGGACTACAGGCACACGCCACCATGCCGAGCTAATTTTTGTATTTTTAGTAGAGACGGGGTTTAACTATGTTGGCCAGTCTCGTCTTGAACTCCTGACCTTGTGATCCGCCCACCTCGGCCTCCCAAAGTGCTGGGATTGCAGGCCTGAGCCACTGCGCCCTGCCTTTGGCCTCACATTTTTAACATATCTGTTTAATATTTGAATTTAGAAAATATAACAAGTCTCCTGTCTTCAGCTGAAAAAAACAAAACAAACAAACAAAAAAAAACAGAAATAAGCCAGGTGCAGTGGCTCACGCCTGTAATCCCAGCACTTTGGGAGGCCGAGGCGGGCGGATCATGAGGTCAGGAGATGAGACCATCCTGGCTAACACGGTGAAACCCCGTCTCTACTAAAAATGCAAAAAATTAGCCAGGCATGGTGGCGGGCACCTGTAGTCCCAGCTACTAAAGAGGCTGAGGCAGGAGAATGGCGTGACCTGGGAGGCGGAGCTTGCAGTGAGCCGAGATCCCGCCACTGCACTCCAATCTGGGAGACAGAGCAAGACTGTCTCAAAAAACAAACAAACAAAAAAACAGAAATAACGTTCAACTTTTTTTTTTTTAGACGGAGTCTCACTCTGTTGCCAGGCTGGAGTGCTGTGGCGCCATCTTGGCTTACTGCAATCTCCACCTCCCGGGTTTAAGCCATTCTCCTGCCTCAGCCTCTCGAGTAGCTTGGATGACAGGCATGCGCCACCATACCCGACTAAATTTTGTATTTTTAATAGAAACGGGGTTTCACCATGTTGACTAGGCTGGTTTTGATCTCCTGACCTCGTGATCCCCCTACCTTGGCCTCCCAAAGTGCTGGGATTACAGGCGTGACCCACTGCACCTGGCCCATGTTCGGTTATTAGTAGAACTACTACTTCATTCTCTCGTTTACATAGCATTATGTACAAATAATTGTACTTTGGGTTTGTCTACCTCAATTTTAATTACACAGACCTTATGGTTAGAATTATTTAAATGCTGATTTTTTTCTGTTAAGGGACTGTCAAAACTGCTTATCTTGAGGGCATAAGGATTGCTTTTATGTCTGTGAATGAAAAGTACATGTGTAGAGCAACTGAATGCTACTTTCAGTTAAAAATTTTGTTTCCTGTTTCTTTTTCTTTCAAACTGAAATATTTTATTCAAAAACTGACAAACATATATATATATGAGTTTTTTGTTTTGTTTTCACTTAGAAATGCCATATATTCCTGAACTATTTAACAGATCTTGAGCCTGTTTTTTTATCTCTAATGCATACAGAATTATTTAATTCACAAGGATCCTTCAGGTAGTTTATTAAATTGAGCCTTTGTAATCATATTTTAAAATAATAATCACGTATCTGTGGTTATACAAATAACTATTGATAGTTATTCACATATTTAAGTGGTAATAATTATACATCATATATATAAATGTTATGTGTGTAACATTTACATAGTGATTACTGTGTGCCAGGAACTATTCTAAGTGCTTTACTTATAATAACTTTTTTCGGGCTATTGTAGGGTTTTAATGTGTTAAGATACTATTGATAGTCCTTATTTGACAAATGAGGAAAAAGCACAGAGAAATTGAGCGACTTGTCTAAGGTCACACAACTGGGATTTGAACCAAACTGTCTGACCCCAAAATTTGTGCTTTCAACCAGTGTGCTGAAGTTTGAACTTTGGCATATTTCTGAATATATTTAAAACTCAAAAACATTCTCTCTTTTAAGCCATTAGAAAAAATTTGAGTGCCCCTTGCTTATAAAATATTATTTAAAAGAGAATCAGAGAGTTCCCTACTCATTTAAAAAATGATCTTTTCAAAGGGTGGGTAAAACAACATGTTGTGAAGTCTTTTTTTTTCAAGTAGACATAGATGAGATATTTTGTCTGTGAGGATTTCTTATCCTGCAAAGAAAATCCAAAGAAACAAGTTTAGAAAGTATGGCAGGAGTGAACCCTTCTGGAGTTCATAAGATCCAAAAACAATATATGCATAAAAATGAGTAATTGGCATAGCACTACCCTAATTCTTCTACATAGAACAATGCTATGTTAAGACTGTAGGCCTGGTGATTTTTAGTTACATGAGAGTAAAGAGGGATGTCATACCCCTTCCCCAGTTATTTGGAGCTAAAGGAAATAAAGTTGCGCTCTGAGCAAAATTTCTGTACTACAAACCAAAACAGAGTTTGTTTTGACTGTAGAGTGTAGAGGTACTGTTTTAAGATGGATAGGGATGGTCCCAGAGGCAGAAGTAGTTGTAACTGAGTAAGCAGTAATACAAGTAATGTTAATCTACTGTGCATGGAAAACACTGGTTCAATAGGAGGAAAAGATTCATCTAGAGTAATAAAAAAGGATTCCAAAGAGGTAGGCATGGTACTGCCTATTCAAGCACAGTTGATGGGGAAGGGGATTCTGGTCCAGAAGAATTACTGTTTCCTTGGCAACACCGTTGTCTTAGCTGAGAGATTCTTAAGGCTGCATAAAACTCCTTGTCATGCCTCTGTACTCACCACAATGCCTTTTGATAATTTGTCTTTCCAAATAGCTACTAACAGATAAAAAAATTCAGTGAAAGATATAGATAAAAACACTATGGTAAATGGTGATAATTGTTGTAACCAA